CACCATCACCATCATCACCATCACCATCATCGCCATCATCATCATCATCACCACCATCATCACCACCATCATCACCACCACCATCATCATCATCACCACCATCACCATCATCATCATCACCACCATCATCATCACCATCACCATCATCACCATCATCACCACCACATCACCATCATCATCACCATCATCATCACCACCATCACCATCATCACCATCACCATCATCGCCATCATCATCATCATCACCACCATCATCACCACCATCATCACCACCACCATCATCATCATCACCACCATCACCATCATCATCATCACCACCATCATCATCACCATCACCATCATCACCATCATCACCACCACATCACCATCATCATCACCATCATCATCACCACCATCACCATCATCACCATCACCATCATCACCATCATCGCCATCATCATCATCACCACCATCATCATCACCATCACCATCATCACCATCACCATCACCACCACCATCACCATCATCATCATCATCACCACCATCATCATCATCATGTCATGTCACATAGTTCAGACCTTTCCAGACGAAGATGTTTCCATTGGCTCCGTTATCGAGGATGAAACACTCGCTGGACTGCAAAGCATCCTGGGGAAACGGGTTTTGCTCTCCTACCATGGTAACCTCGATATCCCCATCAGCGTTGGACACCTGACAGACAGGAAGACAGACACTTGAACACTTCCTGCTGGTTCTTCACAATAAAAGCCTTCCAGTGGACACTGATCCAAGGTTATGGATTAGTAACATCAGCAACAGCTGCAATGATCTGATTGGATGTATCAGAATATCACCGTAACACCACCTGCAGCAGTGTTACCTTGTAGAGCTGCACCAGCTTCCTGTTGGAGGCGTCCATCTTGGCGTCGTCACTGTGAGTGTCAGACAGCTCCGGCTTCTCCCCAAGAACCTGAGCACAGAGGTCACAGGTCAGTGGGAAGTGGTCACCACTCATCAGGAAGAGGTCACAGGTCAACAGGAAGAGGTCAGCAATCAACATTCATCATGTCATGTGACACACTCTACTTGTATCATCACCTCTAGCATCCTGTCTGGCTCGTCCCCCTCGTCACAAAACTTCAGCTTGGCCCGCCCACACCGTTCGTCGTCGCGGATACACTTAGACACCTGTCAATCAGTCAGTCAGTCACATGACATGGGACCATGTGATGTCACTGAATAATGATGTCATTGGGTGATGTCACCACTCACCATGGTTGCCTTCAGCTTCTCAAAGCGGTTGCTATGGGAACCAGACCACTGAATGATTTCCTGGAGACGGAGACAGAGACAGGTTCAGGACCAGTGGCGGCTGCTGGTCTTTCAAACAGGGGAAGCTCACTTTAAGTTTACATCATAACGTGTGTCATGTTGTAGCGAGTCAGTAACTTATTAAAGGAACATTTAATTGAAGCCGTTTTTCAACCACACTCATGCCATAGAACCACAGCAACACACACCTCAAGGATTTTCAGATGGGTTTAAACACCTGAACTGTGTCTACATCACCAGAACTGATTTTCTCTCAAAATAAGTTTGAGTCTGCGACCCTGTCAAACCAGCTGCACACACACAACTACAGCTTTGTGATTCAACGAACAAATGAACTAACTAACGACACTAAACAGGGTGCAAACTCAATAACGCAACATTTATGTCTTTATTTACGGTGTGTGTTATGTTTTTACTGTACAAACGGTGTAAATGAGCTGTATGGCTTATAGAAATAAGGAACTCTGGACAGCACTGAGCACTGTATTTCCAAAGCACTGTCAGTCACAAAGGGGTTCAGCCTCTTAGACAGTTCCTCCAATCATCATGCAGACACCGAGCGTCCTCTCCCGCCTACCGCTTCATCAGGTCCCAGGGAAGCTGAGCCTCCCTGGAAGTTACGATCTTGTCACATTTATCCAATGACCATCTCGCTTTGCTGCATGAAAAAAAAAACCTGTCTCATAGGAATGCTTGGAGGCTCCGTGTCCACCGTGCTGACACGAGAATGTATGACAGGGAGGTCGCGTTTGGAAACTGGTGATATACAGCTGACGTTTGAACATCACAGTCATAATGTGAAATGCATCCTAGCGCACGTTTAATGCAATTTAAATTCTTATTTTAATGTAAATTCAATAGTGCATATTTGACCATTTCTTCTATGAAATTTTAGGGGAAGTTCAGCCTCACTCGTTGTCTCAGAGCAATCGCCCCTGTTCAGGACTGTCTCACTTTCTTACCTGTCTCACCTGTCTGTCACACCTGTCTCACCTGTCTGCTTGTCTCAGCTGTCTGTCTCACCTGTCTGTTTGTCTCACCTGTCTGTCTGTCTGTCTCACCTCTCCCAGGTCCAGTATGAAACTGTCTCCGTGGTTGAAACTGTCCCAGCTGACAGGGACCTCCGTTGCCCTGACGATGCATCGACCTTTGACATGCAGCAGCCTCTGGACCTCCACTTCATTGGTTACCACATGTTTGAAACCTGAGGCCGCGCCCCCTTTCTGTGTGAGAGGAAGTGATGTCATCACACGATCTTTGAGTCAACACGAGGTAGAACGTGTGTTTGACACTTCTCGTGTAGTTACCATATACTTGATTCCTTTTTTGAAGTACCCAGTGAAGGTGTTGGACTCGTGGTCCTGGACTTCTCGGTACTGGATTGGTGCCCCCTGCAGGAAGTCATCCATCTGCACTGCAAATATGGCCGCCGAAGCGCTCTCATCCTGGGAGCAATGTGATCCTGCATGACAACCAACCAATCAGAGAGCAGAACTCTGAATGTTACTGATTGTGATGATTATTACTCAAACATATATCCATATTTGTATGTGTGTGCACAGAAGGTGTCACAGTGTCAGTAGTGTCAGTGGTATTAATGGAATTAATGGTATCAGTAATGGTATCAGTGGTATTAATGGTATTGGTAGTTTTAGTGGCATTAGTGGTATTAGTAGTTTTAGTGGTATTAGTAGTTTTAGTGGTATTGGTAGTTTTAGTGGCATTAGTGGTATTAGTAGTTTTAGTGGTATTAGTAGTTTTAGTGGCATTAGTGGTATTAGTAGTTTTAGTGGTATTAGTAGTTTTAGTGGCATTAGTGGTATTAGTAGTTTTAGTGGTATTAGTAGTTTTAGTGGCATTAGTGGTATTAGTAGTTTTAGTGGTATTAGTAGTTTTAGTGGCATTAGTGGTATTAGTAGTTTTAGTGGTATTAGTAGTTTTAGTGGCATTAGTGGTATTAGTAGTTTTAGTGGTATTAGTAGTTTTAGTGGCATTAGTGGTATTAGTAGTTTTAGTGGTATTAGTAGTTTTAGTGGCATTAGTGGTATTAGTAGTTTTAGTGGTATTAGTAGTTTTAGTGGCATTAGTGGTATTAGTAGTTTTAGTGGTATTAGTAGTTTTAGTGGCATTAGTGGTATTAGTAGTTTTAGTGGTATTAGTAGTTTTAGTGGCATTAGTGGTATTAGTAGTTTTAGTGGTATTAGTAGTTTTAGTGGCATTAGTGGTATTAGTAGTTTTAGTGGTATTAATAGTTTTAGTGGCATTAGTGGTATTAGTAGTTTTAGTGGTATTAGTAGTTTTACTGGCATTAGTGGTATTGGTAGTTTTAGTGGTATTAGTGGTATTGGTAGTTTTACTGGCATTAGTGGTATTGGTAGTTTTACTGGCATTCGTGGTATTAATAGTTTTAGTGGCATTAGTGGTATTAGTAGTTTTAGTGGTATTAGTAGTTTTACTGGCATTAGTGGTATTGGTAGTTTTAGTGGTATTAGTGGTATTGGTAGTTTTACTGGCATTAGTGGTATTGGTAGTTTTACTGGCATTCGTGGTATTAATAGTTTTAGTGGCATTAGTGGTATTAGTAGTTTTAGTGGTATTAGTAGTTTTACTGGCATTAGTGGTATTGGTAGTTTTAGTGGTATTAGTGGTATTGGTAGTTTTACTGGCATTAGTGGTATTGGTAGTTTTACTGGCTTCAGTGGTATTGGTAGTTTTACTGGCTTCAGTGGTATTGGTAGTTTTAGTGGCTTCAGTGGTATTAGTAGTTTTAGTGGTATTAGTACTTTTACTGGCATTAGTGGTATTGGTAGTTTTAGTGGCTTTAGTGGTATTAGTAGTTTTAGTGGCTTCAGTGGTATTAGTAGTTTTAGTGGTATTAGTACTTTTACTGGCATTAGTGGTATTGGTAGTTTTACTGGCATTCGTGGTATTAGTAGTTTTAGTGGTATTGGTAGTTTTAGTGGTATTGGTGGTATTAGTAGTTTTAATGGCTTCAGTGGTATTAGTAGTTTTAGTGGTATTAGTACTTTTACTGGCATTAGTGGTATTGGTAGTTTTACTGGCATTCGTGGTATTAGTAGTTTTAGTGGTATTGGTAGTTTTAGTGGCATTAGTGGTATTAGTAGTTTTAATGGTTTCAGTGGTATTAGTAGTTTTAGTGGCATTAGTGGTATTGGTAGTTTTAGTGGCATTAGTGGTATTGGTAGTTTTACTGGCATTAGTGGTATTAGTAGTTTTAGTGGCATTAGTGGTATTAGTAGTTTTGCTGGCATTAGTGGTATTAGTAGTTTTAGTGGCATTAGTGGTATTAGTAGTTTTAATGGTTTCAGTGGTATTAGTAGTTTTAGTGGTATTAGCAGTTTTAATGGTTTCAGTGGTATTAGTAGTTTTAGTGGTATTAGCAGTTTTAATGGTTTCAGTAGTTTTAATGGTTTCAGTGGTATTAGTAGTTTTAGTGGTATTAGTAGTTTTAATGGTGTCAGTTTATTAGTGGTATTAGTAGTTTTGATGGTTTCAGTGGTATTAGTGGTATTAGTGGTATTAGTAGTTTTAATGGTTTCAGTGGTATTAGTGGTATTAGTACATGGTACAATATAAGGAGATTGCTAAATCTTGTTTAGTTTAGTTCAGAGTCACAGGCCCAATCTCTTGTGATCTCCCTGGACGCAGAGAAAGCCTTTGACAGAATTGAGTGGCCTCATTTACTGGGAGCTCTCTCTAAATTTAACCTAGGTGACAACTTTATTAAATGGACATCTCTTCTTTATGCTGCTACATATGCATCAGGTATCACTAATAGTATGAGGTCCCCTTCTTTCATAGTGCGGCGTGGCTGTAGACAGGGCTGTCCTGTTTCACCTTTGCTCTTTGCCCTTGCGATGGAGCCCTTGGCTGAAGCCTTGAGAAATGATCCATTAATGTCAGGTATAGAGATAGGTCCCATACATCATAAATTTCTTTATATTGACATTTTATTATATCTCAGCAATCCTGAGACCTCTGTGGCCAGAGCAGTTGAGATAATTAACTCCTTCATTCAGTTCTGAGGCTATAAAATTAACTACTCTAAATCTGACGGCCGGGCTCCACCGGCTGCAAACGTAACTGTGCATTCACACCAAAAGCGTCATGAGCATCATAAGCGGCCGGCAGCCATTCATTTTCAATGTACGCTTGCTACGAAGGGCGTCTGGAGCATCGGCGGCAGCGAGCAGCGCGATGCCAGCGACCAGAGCGTCACTGTTAAGTTGAAAGAAGCTCAACTTTATGCAAATGAGCAGCGATGCCGCCGAAATAGTAGCGAGCAGCAGCCAATTACAGACTGTGGATATTCTCAAGGCGGGACAGTGAAAGAAAAAGAAAGAGAAGACGAAAATGGAGGAGAAGTTGATTGTGGCGGTCTCTGGTTTCCCAGAGCTATATGATGTGTCTCTGTTTATTTACAGAGACATCCAGAAGAAGTCAGATGCCTGGAGAAGGGTATCTGAAATTGTTGGTTTGTCTGGTAAGTAAAATAGGCTTGTGTCGATCCTACGAGTCATCCTGTGCACAGCTGATCAGCCCCGCCCCTTGGCAGCCTTCTGCAAGCCCTGCCAGAGCTGCCAGGCAGTGCGATGCCAGTGACCTGAGCGACCACTGGCGCTCATGACGCTGTTGGTGTGAATGCACAGTAAGCGTCACGTCAGCGTAGCGTCGTGGCGTATTCATTTGGGCTCCACTGACGGCGTACGGAAGCGACACGTAGAGAAGCCAGCGGGGTTGTTTACCGTTTGCTGAGCCGAGAGGCTGCATGTAGGCTGCATGAAATAAAAAGTTAAAGCATTTTCCACCTCCAACAACAAGCAGGTAGCAAACTCCACACACCTCGCATCAGTACTTTCCCACCCCTCGGATCGGCTTCATTGCCTGCGTAGACCTATTGACTTTTTTATTTTTTTTTTTTTTTATGCAGGGTTCCATAGAATACAATAAACAGTTTCAACTGTATTAAAATACATAGTTTAAACGGTAGGATCACGGATAAACATGGGTAAATGCATGAAAAAAATCATCACATATCGCCTCTGATAATGGTTTATTCATTTAAAAACACATTGTGCTTGTTTAGCACACTATTTCATGTAGTTTTTATCTGCTGGAGGGTCGCGTAGGGGAGCGTAGCACGACAAAAGTAGAAGAGCCGCGTAAAATAGAGAGTTGTCGCGCCGCTCCCGTTGCCGGTGGAGCTGCTGTAATTGATTAACAGGGGGGCGAGCTGCTACGGGACTTGTGCTGCAGACGTGTCGCACTGCTGATGTGCCCAGTGGAGCCCGGCCGTGAGGCAATGCCATTGACCCCTGAACTATCCGGGCCCCCTACTTGTTCTGCCCCTTTTCACTGGTCACCGTCTGGATTCGTGTTCACACCAGACCTGTTTTTTTTTTTTTTTTTCCGCTAGCAACGATTTTACATACAAAGTCTTTTTTTTTTTTTTTTTTTCCGCTAGCAACGATTTTACATACAAAGTCAATGCAAACGGGCGATTGAGTGTATATTTGCCCGGGAGAAAAATCGCTCGGGCTCCGAGCGACAGCGACAGAGCGATTTTTCGCTCGTCACTTGAGATGAGAAATCTCATCTGAAGCGGTATTTCGCTGGGTCCTGTCGCTTGCAGCTCAACGCTGATTGGCTGCCGGAATCCCGGAATCCCGGGGGGGTGTTTGACTGTCATGACATGTCAGCTTCATTAAAAGTATAGCTGCAAATTAAAAGCAACAATAGATGTAAAAACACACAGAGTCAATACATCTGTGATCAGTTCCCTAATTTAATTTTAACAATTTTTTCAATCTTCTCCAATTTCTCGTTTTATTTTATGGAAGTGATCAATGTAAGTGCACTTGTCCTAGAGCCGCCACGACGGTTTTTATAATGCAAATAACTCTATTTAGATAAAAACTACAAGCTTCACTTCCTATGACTTTTACTAAAAATGTGTCTTGTATGTTTTCTGAAGCCTTTAAGGTACAAAAATTAAACACATTAGACTTCTGAGCATTTATACCGCCGACCGAAATTATACATTTTGATACAAACAGGTAGGCTATATACATATTGCAAAACTGTGTAAAAGTACACCAAAGCATACATTTTAGTTTCCAAATATTTATTTGAAAACGAAACCATTCATATTGTCAGTAAAAAAACATTTTGTTTATAATAAAAAACGAATGTAATCTCAACAGTGACTGCGCCAGCCGGTGGGACTGCTGCGCTTGGAGGGGCGCTGTAATCCTGGCGGTCCCAGTGTAAAGCACCATGGACAGCGCCAATGCATCTATCGCTGTAGCTCAGAGGCTCTGATGCCTGAGTCAGAGCACATGAGCGGAGTTGGAGCTGGAGTTGCCTCAGCCATAGGTTATTGGCAGGAAGAAAAACGGCTGCTGACAAAACTGTCACTGTCAACTGCCTCCAAGCGCCGCAATGATCTGCCAGACCATCATATGTAACTTCATTGTTTATGCTGCCCGTGTGCTCAGAAGCACACAATGAATGCATTTTTGAGTAATTTCCGAGAAGTTATGATAAAATAAAAAAAAAGTATTACAGACTATAGAATAGGACTGACAACCTCTCCAATGTCTCATGTCAATTAATTAACACTATTTGTCGGCTTTTTATAATGCCTTT